TAATCTGTTATCATTAAAGGGCCCTATTCTGTCATCATTAAAGGGCCCTAATTTGTCATCATTAAAGGGCCCTAATCTGTCATCATTAAAGGGCCCTAATTTGTCATCATTAAAGGGCCCTAATCTGTCATCATTAAAGGGCCCTAGTCTGTCATCATTAAAGGGCCCTAATTTGTCATCATTAAAGGGCCCTAATTTGTCATAATAATAAACTGCTCTTTTCCAATTATTCTTAAACTAATAACAGTAGTTCAGAGATATTTGAATTTCTAAATTTCTTTTCCAGCCCCTAAATCTTGTTATTGTTTTCATTTCGATGTCCCGCCTTCCACCGTTTCACCAATCAGAAAGTCCGTGATACGGGCGCCAGAACTCACCGCGTGGAGCTAATCTCACTGGTAAAGTACCATGTGGCGCAGAACTAAAAAAGGTCTCGTTATGATTCTCAAATCATTAACGACAAAACAAGGAATAAAAACAGGATTTCTATCTTTGTGAAAAAGGTGTTGGTTATAGATTTATTGTTGACAAAACTCTTGTCTATTCAGCTGTTATGGTCCCAGCTGGATTCGTCTGCATATCTGGCAACCTGAGTCAGGGAGAGTGGGGGAGGCTGCAGTACCACTTTTGGCCACATGTTTGCATACCTTTAAGAACAGACTTTGTACTTTCTCTTCCTCAGGTCACGACTTCTGCTCTGAGGCCGAGGATCTCTGTGGACCCAACTTCGACTGTGAGAACCTCCAGACCAAAGCCCAGTGCGTCTGTCGCCGTGGATACGCACCTGTCCAGGGGGACCACAGCCATTGTGAAGGTAGGACCAGGACCGGACCAGGACCGGACCAGGACCAGGACTGGGAATGGCACCACGTCCAGACTAGACCTGGACCTGACCACACAAGACTGGGACTGAAAGGACTCAACCTTATCCATGACTAGGCCTGTCGCGATAGTCAATAAATCAATTAATCGCACGATAAATAAAATTTGCTCAATAACTTTTCTGGCCGCGATAAATCCCATTTGCATGCTCATTTGTTTTCCCCGTCTCTCTCTCCCCCTCGCTCTCGGGTCAGAGAGCCGCAAAGTGGTCACGGGAACATTAGCGGTCTAGCAAGCAGACGGAAATTACTCAAAAATACAAAATACAGCCAAAACAGGACCTAAACCAGGACTTAACCAGGATTGACTATGGGGGACACAGTAGTTGTGAACATATGCCGGCAGCTGAGCTCTCATTCAGGCTTGATTAGTGACTATACTAGCGCAGCTAGCGTTAGCGTGTTTGCCGATGCAGAAGTACCGTACCGTACCAATAAAATAAACTTATGGCGCACCTCCGTGAACACGTACTGCTGTTATATAAGGTCTCTAGAAGGTCTCTGAACACAGAGATGCTGCAGACTTGCATTCTTGGAGTAGAACTTTACACAAAAAACCCGCTAGCTTAGCTGTTAGCATCAAAGCCCGCCCCGCTACTTCCGGTGGGCGCTACCGCAGCAGGACTTCTGTACGCCCCATTGGTGAACCCACATGTCAGTCACTTGTCATTCGCCTGGTGTGTGGGGAGGTGGGACTACTGGCGTAGCCCACAGAGTGCAGCTGAGGAGCCGCAAGAGAAGTTTACCGGTAGGCACTACGCAGAGAGAAAGCGGTAGGCACTACGCAGAGAGAAAGCGGTAGGCACTACGCAGAGAGAAAGCGGTAGGCACTACGCAGAGAGAAAGCGGTAGGCACTACGCAGAGAGAAAGCGGTAGGCACTACGCAGAGAGAAAGCTAGTTGCGAGTGCGGGACAAAACAATGGAATTGGTTTCCAAGCCAAACGCGACAGCTGCAGTGTGGGAGCATTTCGGATTTAAACCGAATGCCCGTGGTGAACCACTGAACATGTGCGAGTCGGTGTGTCGCATTTGTTGGAAAACAGTAGCAGTTAAAAGCGGCAACACAACAAACTTACATATGCATCTACAACACAATCAGTTTATTGTGTTCTACCGTTAAATATTCGTTAAAAATAAAAGTTTATTTCTCTTTGAAAAGGTGTACCTGCATTATCATTGTAATCGATGATCTCAGAACGACAATATAATCGCTTATCGCAATAATTTCTGAGACAATTAATCGTCCAGCAAAATTTGTTATCGTGACAGGCCTATCCATGACTTGGTCTCCTTTGGTCTGCTTTGGTTTATGTTGGCCTGCTTTGGTCTGCCTTGTTCTGCTTTGGTTTATGTTGGCCTGCTTTGGTCTGCTCTGTTTTAAAGCCTCTTGTGTCTGATCTGAAGCTGTGTTTGACTCTCTCATGTTTGAAACTTGTCTCTGTGAAAACGTTGCTGTTGGAACTGGACCTCCCTCTGTCACAGACCTCCCTCTGTCACAGACGCTCTGGAGACACGTTTGTACCGTATATTTCAGCTCCTGATGTTTTCCCAGAATGCCTCTGTGCTCAGATTAGCAACAGCGGCGTCTAAACGTCTCTGAGTCGACGATGATCCGCTTTGAGGAGTCTCCAGTGTCTCTGCTTTAGTCCATTTAATGCAGCTGCATCTCTATGGTCTCTCTCTGGTCTCTCTCTGGTCTCTCTCTCTGGTCTCTCTCTCTGGTCTCTCTCTCTGGTCTCTCTCTGGTCTCTCTATGGTCTCTCTCTGGTCTCTCTCTGGTCTCTCTCTGGTCTCTCTCTGGTCTCTCTCTCTGGTCTCTCTCTCTGGTCTCTCTCTGGTCTCTCTCTCTGGTCTCTCTTTCTGGTCTCTCTCTGGTCTCTCTCTGGTCTCTCTCTCTGGTCTCTCTCTGGTCTCTCTCTGGTCTCTCTCTTTGTGGTTTCTCTCTTTGGTCAGCTGTGGCTGAGTGGTTTTCACAGCTAGAAGGTCCTGAGTTTGATTCCTGGGCGAAACCCTTTCTGAGTGGAGTTTGTATGTTCTCCCTGTGTCTGAGACCAGACCACCTTGGTGGTGATGGGAGGGGCCGATAGCACAGACTGGTTGCCTCGCTTCTGTCAGTGTGCCCCAGGGCAGCTGTGGCTACAGTAGTTTATCACTGCTGTGTTTGGAGAGAAAGAATAATTTCCATAAAAACACTGTTTAAACCTGATGCTCTCCCGATCTTTGGGTTTGTATTTTGCTGCTCTCTCTGGTCTGGTCTGGTCCTGATGTGGTCTGGTCTGGTCTGGTCCTGATGTGATCTGGTCTGGTCCTGATTCGGTCTGGTCTGGTCTGGTCCTGATGTGATCTGGTCTGGTCCTGATGCGGTCTGGTCTGGTCTGGTCCTGGTCTTGTCCGTCACAGCAGGAGGACTTTGAGTTTACGTCTGCACAAAAATGATCTCTTTGGTTCAGGCTAATATTCCAGGACAATCCAGCGTGAAGGAGGCGCAGTCAGCACAGAAGGAGGCGCAGTCAGCACAGACTCAGAGAGGATTAAGTTCCAGAAAGAAGAGAAAACGTCCGAGCTGCAGCCGCCGTGACATTTGACATTAATCACAGTTTAGCGCCGTCACGGTGAAGCGGAAGAAAATGGCCGCCACGTTGGCTGAGTGGTTAGCCCTCTCGCTTCTCAGGAAGAAGGTCCAGGTTTCGAGTGTCGGTCAGAATAGGGCCTTTCTGAGTTTGCATGTTCTCCCAGTGTCTGCGTAGGTTTCCTCCAGGTGCTCTGGTTTCCCCTTCCTCTAAAACCATGTACAATAGGTCTGACAGCGCAAGGTTTGTGACTCTGTGAAAGAAACTATAGAAATAACAACAGACTTACTTAGTTCCATACTTAAGCCTAGTGTATAGTTGCGCGGCGCTGCTTACGTTAGCGGTTGACCTACACAAGCACAATTTAATTTATACTCCTTGCGGAGTTTTGAGGAGAATGTTGTAATCCCACAACCAACCACATGATGGCGACCTCACAGGAGTTGCTTGAGAAACCAAAGCGGTCTCATTTACGCTGCTCCTTCCTCCTCGTCAGAACAAAAACAAGAGTGAAGCTGTTTGAGATCATTACATGTGTTTCTACTGTAGGTTTATGTGACTGTTCTAAACTCATCGTTTCAACTCATTTAACTGTGATGCTGTGAATAAAGACACAGTTCTGTTGGAAACATAGTTATTATTAAAGTGTTTTCAGCACAAACTGCAAAACAATAAGTGGTAAATATCTGAGACAAACATGAACTATTTACAAGAACAGGAGGAACAGACGCAGCTACGATTCAAACAAGACAGGAACAGTTTATAAGTTATATATATGTTAGATATATGTTAGATATAAGTTAGATATATGTTAGATATAAGTTAGATATATGTTAGATATAAGTTAGATATATGTTAGATATAAGTTAGATAGTCCACAGTCTCCTGTATATCAGGCTCTGAGCCCAAACTGCTTTTCCTTCGAAGCACAAAGCTCTCTGCTCCATAGTGCCTCGTCCATGCTCCTGCTGCAGCCGCTCCGTGCTTCCTTCCAAAACACACACACGGACCAATCACAGCGGAGCTTCCTTGCGGCGACCCTTACGTAGTTAGAACATTTTGATGCTGCGCGGCAGGCAACGTAAGGGCCTGCGGTGACCAACGCGTTGCGCAAGTGACGTCACGTCACCTCCGTAAGCTCCGCGCCGCGCAAGTATACACTAGGCTTTAGTTACTTACTTAGTTACATACTTAGTTACTTATTTAGTTCCAAGTCTCCAACACTTTTCATGTTTTTGTGTTTAGAGAAAGTGAACATACGTTTAGAGCGTAATACATTTGCAGAAACCATGACGACGGACAGATGTGTGGATCTAATTAAAACAACATCTGTCAGGAGTCTTCAGGAGAGAGAGGAGAGAGTGAGGAGAGGAGAGGAGGAGGGAGAGAGAAGAGGAGAGGAGAGGAGGAGGGAGAGAGAAGAGGAGAGGAGGAGGGAGAGAGAAGAGGAGAGGAGGAGGGAGGTGAGAGAGAAGAGAAGAGAGAGAGAAGAGAGGAGAGAGAGGAAGGGAGAGAGAGAGGAGAGGAGAAGAGAGGAGAGAGGAGAGAGGGAGGAGAGGAGAGGAGAGGAGGAGGGAGGTGTGGTGAGGAGAGAAGAGAGGAGAGAGAGAGAGGAGAGGAAAAGAGTGGAATGAGGAGTGGAGGAGAGAGGAGAAGAGGGGAGTGGAGAGGTTTAAGGAGAGAGAAGAGAGGAGGAGGGAGGAGAGGGAAGAGGAGTGCAGAGGAGATGAGATGGGAAAGGAGAGAGGGGAGACGGGGGAGGAAGGAGAAGAGGAAGGAGAGAAGCGAGAAAGAGAACTCTGCTGGATCCAAAATAAGAACACAGTGTGAGGTCAGAGTGTGTCGGGGTCTGTAGTTTAGGCCTGTCACGCAGCGAGTGGGAACAGGAACAAACACATGGAGCGGGGGACATTTTGGCTCTGATGAACGAGAGCAGGGAGCGTGTGCAGATCAGAGGAGGAGGAGGCTGTATTTGGGGCAGCTGCGGCAGCGGGAAAACCGGATTACCATCACTCAGAGGACACAGGCTTTACCCATAACCGGATTTTACCATTTAGTGATGAGAGAGACCAGAGAGAGACCAGCGAGAGACCAGGGAGAGACCAGAGAGAGACCAGAGAGAGACCAGGGAGAGACCAGAGAGAGACCAGAGAGAGAGACCAGAGAGAGACCAGAGAGAGACCAGAGAGAGACCAGAGAGAGACCAGGGAGAGACCAGAGAGAGACCAGAGAGAGACCAGAGAGAGACCAGAGAGAGAGACCAGAGAGAGACCAGAGAGAGACCAGAGAGAGACCAGAGAGAGACCAGCGAGAGAGCAGAGAGAGAGACCAGAGAGAGACCAGGGAGAGACCAGAGAGAGACCAGAGAGAGACCAGAGAGAGACCAGAGAGAGACCAGAGAGAGACTAGAGAGAGACTAGAGAGAGACCAGAGAGAGACCAGAGAGAGACCAGAGAGAGACCAGAGAGAGACTAGAGAGAGACCAGAGAGAGACCAGAGAGAGACCAGAGAGAGAGCAGCGAGAGAGCAGAGAGAGACCAGAGAGAGACCAGGGAGAGACCAGGGAGAGACCAGGGAGAGACCAGGGAGAGACCAGAGAGAGACCAGGGAGAGACCAGGGAGAGACCAGGGAGAGACCAGGGAGAGACCAGAGAGAGACCATAGAGAGACTAGAGAGAGACTAGGGAGAGACCAGGGAGAGACCAGGGAGAGACCAGGGAGAGACCAGAGAGAGACCAGGGAGAGACCAGAGAGAGACCAGGGAGAGACCAGGGAGAGACCAGAGAGAGACCATAGAGAGACTAGAGAGAGACCAGGGAGAGACCAGAGAGAGAGCAGCGAGAGAGCAGAGAGAGACCAGAGGGAGACCAGAGAGATCAGAGAGAGACCAGAGAGAGACCAGGGAGAGACCAGAGAGAGACCATAGAGAGACTAGAGAGAGACCAGGGAGAGACCAGGGAGAGACCAGGGAGAGACCAGAGAGAGACCAGGGAGAGACCAGGGAGAGACCAGGGAGAGACCAGGGAGAGACCAGAGAGAGACCATAGAGCAGGGGTGCTCACACTTTTTCAGCATGCGAGCTACTTATAAAAGGATCAAGTCAAAATGATCTACCTACTACAAAAATGCAAATCATATATTTATTTCAAAAAATATTCTGTATACCTACAATGTATGTTTATGTACATGCAAAACTGCATGAGCCAATATAGCACAACACAACACAATTACCTATGTACATTTTTTGTCATTACCCGAGTTTACTCTGATGACTTGCACTGAATTGAATCGGCCAGGGAGGCATAGTCCGGAAAATTGGTGGTAACTCGCTGACAAGTTTGTCGTTGTTGAGCTTTCCTGCACTGAGCGCGGTTGTTTGCGCATGTGCAGTCACCTAAGTGTCAGTAAAACATTACTGAGTAAAACACAGATGTCATTTGACTGTGGTGCCATGTCCATATGCCATGCCTATTTTTTTTAAATCCAAATATTTCCCCTCCTCAGTTTATAAAATAATTTGCATCCACACATCTGCGTTATCAATCACGTTCGTAACATTCCAAACATGTGCGTCTCTTACGTCCTGCGTTGGGGAAAAACACAGAAGTGGGCGGAGCTTTGATGCAGACGCCGGTAACGGCACTTTTACAGTCATAGAAGACACTCAGAGTAAAGACGTATGTTTACAAGCACTGACCCCGTCCTCAGCCCTGGGTTAGTCCTGGTTTAGTCCTGGTTTAGTCCTGGTTTAGTCCTGGTTTAGTCCTGGTTTGGTTGTTTTCGAGCGTGAGTCCCCGCGATCACTTTGCTGCTCTCTGATGTGGAGGATGTTCGCTGCTGCGAGCATCTCACAGCGGACAATTTTTAAGGTAGTATGATCCATGCTTGAGTGATCAGAGGAATTTAGGGAGGTACTGTGGCGTGCGAGAACGCAAAACTCTGGTTATCTCTGTCTACACACAAATGCATTAACGGAGTTTTCAAAAATCTCCACTTTGCCCGGAGTTTTTTGTATATATTTGTTTAGAATGTGTAATTTTTTCATTTATTTAATGCGATCTACCAATACTACCTTTGCGATCGACTGGTAGATCGCGATCGACGTATTGAGCACCCCTGCTATAGAGAGACTAGAGAGAGACTAGGGAGAGACCAGGGAGAGACCAGGGAGAGACCAGGGAGAGACCAGGGAGAGACCAGAGAGAGACCAGGGAGAGACCAGAGAGAGACCAGAGAGAGACCAGGGAGAGACCAGAGAGAGACTAGGGAGAGACCAGGGAGAGACCAGGGAGAGACCAGGGAGAGACCAGGGAGAGACCAGAGAGAGACCAGGGAGAGACCAGGGAGAGACCAGGGAGAGACCAGGGAGAGACCAGGGAGAGACCAGGGAGAGACCAGAGAGAGACCAGAGAGAGACCAGAGAGAGACCAGGGAGAGACCAGGGAGAGACCAGAGAGAGACCATAGAGAGACCAGAGAGAGACCAGAGAGAGACCAGGGAGAGACCAGGGAGAGACCAGGGAGAGACCAGGGAGAGACCAGGGAGAGACCAGGGAGAGACCAGGGAGAGACCAGAGAGAGACCAGAGAGAGACCAGGGAGAGACCAGGGAGAGACCAGAGAGAGACCAGGGAGAGACCAGGGAGAGACCAGAGAGAGACCATAGAGAGACCAGAGAGAGACCAGAGAGAGACCAGGGAGAGACCAGAGAGAGACCAGGGAGAGACCAGGGAGAGACCAGAGAGAGACTAGGGAGAGACCAGGGAGAGACCAGGGAGAGACCAGGGAGAGACCAGGGAGAGACCAGAGAGAGACCAGGGAGAGACCAGAGAGAGACCAGGGAGAGACCAGGGAGAGACCAGAGAGAGACCATAGAGAGACTAGAGAGAGACTAGGGAGAGACCAGGGAGAGACCAGGGAGAGACCAGGGAGAGACCAGGGAGAGACCAGGGAGAGACCAGAGAGAGACCAGGGAGAGACCAGGGAGAGACCAGAGAGAGACCATAGAGAGACCAGAGAGAGACTAGAGAGAGACTAGGGAGAGACCAGGGAGAGACCAGGGAGAGACCAGGGAGAGACCAGGGAGAGACCAGAGAGAGACCAGGGAGAGACCAGGGAGAGACCAGAGAGAGACCAGGGAGAGACCAGGGAGAGACCAGAGAGAGACCATAGAGAGACTAGAGAGAGACCAGGGAGAGACCAGAGAGAGAGCAGCGAGAGAGCAGAGAGAGACCAGAGAGACAACTGAGAAAATTTGATTATGTGTGTGTGTGTGTGTGTGTCTCTGTGTGTGTGTGTGTGTGTCTGTGTGTGTGTGTGTGTGTGTGTGTGTGTCTCTGTGTGTGTCTGTGTGTGTGTCTGTGTGTGTGTCTGTGTGTGTGTGTGTCCCTGTGTGTGAGTGACATTTTCCTGGACCTCCTCTGGGTGAATCTTTTGTTCTACAGAAATGTCAGGTCTGAGGTTTGGAATCGCACTGTTCCAGGCTCTAATCTAAACGACTGCAGGAAGTGTTTTGGCCCAAAGGCACAAGGGCAGAGCCAAAGATTACACTGGACTCAGAGGAATCGTTCTGAATGTTAAAGAAGCTATACCCGATTTTTTTTCTAATGAGTTCATAAAATGTTTATCACTACATACAAGTTGTATTATAATCCTTAACTTAGTCGAAAACTTGAGCTCTTTGATTCAGCTGTGTATGAATTCTGCCCGCTCTCCTCCAATCACAGAACGAGGCTGCCTCCTCTAGCCTCTACAGCGCTGCTAAACACAGTAGCATGTTAGCATAAGTGGCTATAACTCCTCTGGCTGTAACTGCAGACACAGCAAAACAGCCCAAACCACACAACAGTGAGGAAGAGAAGAGGAACTAAAGCCAAAACATGATCAAAGAAGAAACCAAGCGCTGAACAGAGCTAGCTTACATTGTAAGTAAATTTGGAACAATCTTCCTGAAGATGTGAGACAGGCCTCCTCTCTGACAATGTTTAAAACAAGGTTAAAAACAGTTCTGTTTAGCTGCAAATACAATTGAAGGATTATATATTTTTATCTTTCTTTTTAATGTACTGTTAAAAAGACTAAAAAGGAGATGGCCAAAGCTAGGCTAAATGCTAAAGCTAGGCTAAAGCTAGGCTTAAGCTAAAGCTAAATGCCTCACTCGGGCTCATTACATACGTCACAGTAAACTCAGATCCAATGGTTTCAATCTGCAAAAGAAGTTAGCCCCTCCCACCTGTTAACAGAGTCTATGGAGCACATCCAGACCTTAGTATGAAACGAAAGGAGTACAATGGTGTGGTAAGACCAGGATACAGCTTTAAAGCTACATACAAGCTGTAAATGTTACGTACCCCAGCTTTAAATATAGAATTTGGACATTGGTCTTGATGCCGGTGACACCAGTTTGAAAAAGGCCCATGTAGACAGAGGGGGTGGGGGTGGATGGAGCTAAACACAGCTGCAGGTCTGTGATGTGTTGAACAGAGAAAACACTGTTCATTTAATGAAGTGAATGAGACGAACCCACACACAGCTGTTCCTGTCTGCACACCCTCCCTCCTCTGTCTCCCCCTCACCCTCCCTCCTCTGTCTCCCCCTCACCCTCCCTCCTCTGTCTGCACCTCACCCTCCCTCCTCTGTCTGCACCTCACCCTCCCTCCTCTGTCTGCACCTCACCCTCCCTCCTCTGTCTGCACCTCACCCTCCCTCCTCTGTCTCCCCCTCACCCTCCCTCCTCTGTCTGCACCTCACCCTCCCTCCTCTGTCTCCCCCTCACCCTCCCTCCTCTGTCTGCACCTCACCCTCCCTCCTCTGTCTCCCCCTCATCCTCCCTCCTCTGTCTCCCCCTCACCCTCCCTCCTCTGTCTGCACCTCACCCTCCCTCCTCTGTCTCCCCCTCACCCTCCCTCCTCTGTCTGCACCTCACCCTCCCTCCTCTGTCTCCCCCTCACCCTCCCTCCTCTGTCTGCACCTCCCCCTCCCTCCTCTGTCTCCCCCTCACCCTCCCTCCTCTGTCTGCACCTCACCCTCCCTCCTCTGTCTCCCCCTCACCCTCCCTCCTCTGTCTGCACCTCACCCTCCCTCCTCTGTCTGCACCTCACCCTCCCTCCTCTGTCTCCCCCTCACCCTCCCTCCTCTGTCTGCACCTCACCCTCCCTCCTCTGTCTCCCCCTCACCCTCCCTCCTCTGTCTCCCCCTCACCCTCCCTCCTCTGTCTCCCCCTCACCCTCCCTCCTCTGTCTGCACCTCACCCTCCCTCCTCTGTCTGCACCTCACCCTCCCTCCTCTGTCTGCACCTCACCCTCCCTCCTCTGTCTGCACCTCACCCTCCCTCCTCTGTCTCCCCCTCACCCTCCCTCCTCTGTCTGCACCTCACCCTCCCTCCTCTGTCTGCACCTCACCCTCCCTCCTCTGTCTCCCCCTCACCCTCCCTCCTCTGTCTGCACCTCACCCTCCCTCCTCTGTCTGCACCTCACCCTCCCTCCTCTGTCTCCCCCTCACCCTCCCTCCTCTGTCTGCACCTCACCCTCCCTCCTCTGTCTGCACCTCACCCTCCCTCCTCTGTCTGCACCTCACCCTCCCTCCTCTGTCTCCCCCTCACCCTCCCTCCTCTGTCTCCCCCTCACCCTCCCTCCTCTGTCTGCACCTCACCCTCCCTCCTCTGTCTGCACCTCACCCTCCCTCCTCTGTCTGCACCTCACCCTCCCTCCTCTGTCTCCCCCTCACCCTCCCTCCTCTGTCTCCCCCTCACCCTCCCTCCTCTGTCTGCACCTCACCCTCCCTCCTCTGTCTCCACCTCACCCTCCCTCCTCTGTCTCCCCCTCACCCTCCCTCCTCTGTCTCCCCCTCACCCTCCCTCCTCTGTCTCCCCCTCACCCTCCCTCCTCTGTCTGCACCTCACCCTCCCTCCTCTGTCTCCCCCTCACCCCCCTCCTCTGTCTCCCCCTCACCCTCCCTCCTCTGTCTCCCCCCCACCCTCCCTCCTCTGTCTCCCCCTCACCCTCCCTCCTCTGTCTGCACCTCACCCTCCCTCCTCTGTCTCCCCCTCACCCTCCCTCCTCTGTCTCCCCCTCACCCTCCCTCCTCTGTCTCCCCCCCACCCTCCCTCCTCTGTCTCCCCCTCACCCTCCCTCCTCTGTCTGCACCTCACCCTCCCTCCTCTGTCTCCCTCCCCCCTCCCCTCCTCGTCTCCCTCCCCTACCCCCTCTGTCTCACACCTCACCCTCCCTCCTCTGTCTGCACCTCACCCTCCCTCCTCTGTCCCCCCTCACCCTCCCTCCTCTGTCTGCACCTCACCCTCCCTCCTCTGTCCTCTGTCTCCCCTCACCCTCCCTCCTCTGTCTGCACCTCACCCTCCCTCCTCTGTCTCCCCCTCTCCCCTCCCTCGTCTCCTCCTCCCCCCCCTCCTCTGTCTGCACCTCACCCTCCCTCCTCTGTCTCCCCCTCACCCTCCCTCCCTCTGTCCCTCCCCCTCACCCTCCCTCCTCTGTCTGCACCTCACCCTCCCTCCTCTGTCTCCCCCTCACCCTCCCTCCTCTGTCTGCACCTCACCCTCCCTCCTCTGTCTCCCCCTCACCCTCCCTCCCTGTCTGCACCTCACCTCCCTCCTCTGTCCCCCTCCTCACCTCCCCTCCTCTGTCTCCCCTCACCCTCCCTCCTCTGTCTCCCCCCCTCACCCTCCCTCCTCTGTCCACCTCACCCTCCCCCTCCCCCTCCCTCCCTCCTCTGTCTCCCTCACCCTCCCTCCTCTGTCTGCACCTCACCCTCCCTCCTCTGTCTCCCCCTCACCCTCCCTCCTCTGTCTGCACCCTCACCCTCACCCTCCTCTGTCTCCCCCTCACCCTCCCTCCTCTGTCTGCACCTCACCCTCCCTCCTCTGCCCCTCTGTCTGCACCTCACCTCCCTCCCTCCTCTGTCTCCCCCTCACCCTCCCTCCTCTGTCTGCACCTCACCCTCCCTCCTCTGTCTGCACCTCACCCTCCCTCCTCTGTCTCCCCCTCACCCTCCCTCCTCTGTCTGCACCTCACCCTCCCTCCTCTGTCTGCACCTCACCCTCCCTCCTCTGTCTCCCCCTCACCCTCCCTCCTCTGTCTCCCCTCACCCTCCCTCCTCTGTCTCCCCCTCACCCTCCCTCCTCTGTCTGCACCTCACCCTCCCTCCTCTGTCTCCACCTCACCCTCCCTCCTCTGTCTCCCCCTCACCCTCCCTCCTCTGTCTGCACCTCACCCTCCCTCCTCTGTCTGCACCTCACCCTCCCTCCTCTGTCTGCACCTCACCCTCCCTCCTCTGTCTGCACCTCACCCTCCCTCCTCTGTCTGCACCTCACCCTCCCTCCTCTGTCTCCCCCTCACCCTCCCTCCTCTGTCTGCACCTCACCCTCCCTCCTCTGTCTCCCCCCCACCCTCCCTCCTCTGTCTGCACCTCACCCTCCCTCCTCTGTCTCCCCCTCACCCTCCCTCCTCTGTCTCCCCCTCACCCTCCCTCCTCTGTCTGCACCTCACCCTCCCTCCTCTGTCTGCACCTCACCCTCCCTCCTCTGTCTGCACCTCACCCTCCCTCCTCTGTCTGCACCTCACCCTCCCTCCTCTGTCTCCCCCTCACCCTCCCTCCTCTGTCTGCACCTCACCCTCCCTCCTCTGTCTCCCCCTCACCCTCCCTCCTCTGTCTGCACCTCACCCTCCCTCCTCTGTCTCCCCCTCACCCTCCCTCCTCTGTCTCCCCCTCACCCTCCCTCCTCTGTCTCCCCCTCACCCTCCCTCCTCTGTCTGCACCTCACCCTCCCTCCTCTGTCTCCCCCTCACCCTCCCTCCTCTGTCTGCACCTCACCCTCCCTCCTCTGTCTCCCCCTCACCCTCCCTCCTCTGTCTGCACCTCCCCCTCCCTCCTCTGTCTCCCCCTCACCCTCCCTCCTCTGTCTGCACCTCACCCTCCCTCCTCTGTCTCCCCCTCACCCTCCCTCCTCTGTCTGCACCTCACCCTCCCTCCTCTGTCTGCACCTCACCCTCCCTCCTCTGTCTCCCCCTCACCCTCCCTCCTCTGTCTGCACCTCACCCTCCCTCCTCTGTCTCCCCCTCACCCTCCCTCCTCTGTCTCCCCCTCCCCCTCCCTCCTCTGTCTCCCCCTCACCCTCCCTCCTCTGTCTCCCCCTCACCCTCCCTCCTCTGTCTGCACCTCACCCTCCCTCCTCTGTCTGCACCTCACCCTCCCTCCTCTGTCTCCCCCTCACCCTCCCTCCTCTGTCTGCACCTCACCCTCCCTCCTCTGTCTGCACCTCACCCTCCCTCCTCTGTCTCCCCCTCCCTCCTCTGTCTCCCCCTCACCCTCCCTCCTCTGTCTCCCCCTCACCCTCCCTCCTCTGTCTGCACCTCACCCTCCCTCCTCTGTCTGCACCTCACCCTCCCTCCTCTGTCTGCACCTCACCCTCCCTCCTCTGTCTCCCCCTCACCCTCCCTCCTCTGTCTCCCCCTCACCCTCCCTCCTCTGTCTGCACCTCACCCTCCCTCCTCTGTCTGCACCTCACCCTCCCTCCTCTGTCTCCCCCTCACCCTCCCTCCTCTGTCTCCCCCTCACCCTCCCTCCTCTGTCTCCCCCTCACCCTCCCTCCTCTGTCTCCCCCTCACCCTCCCTCCTCTGTCTCCCCCACCCTCCCTCCTCTGTCTCCCCCTCACCCTCCCTCCTCTGTCTGCACCTCACCCTCCCTCCTCTGTCTGCACCTCACCCTCCCTCCTCTGTCTCCCCCTCACCCTCCCTCCTCTGTCTGCACCTCACCCTCCCTCCTCTGTCTCCCCCTCACCCTCCCTCCTCTGTCTGCACCTCACCCTCCCTCCTCTGTCTCCCCCTCACCCTCCCTCCTCTGTCTGCACCTCACCCTCCCTCCTCTGTCTGCACCTCACCCTCCCTCCTCTGTCTCCCCCTCACCCTCCCTCCTCTGTCTGCACACCCTCCCTCCTCTCTGTCCACCTCCCTCCTGTCTCCCCGTCATTCTTTCTCCTCTCTCCTCCTCATCCTTCTCTCTCCTCCTCTCCCTTCTCTCTCTCCCCCTTGGTCTCCCTCCTCTCACCTCCAGTTAAGAGAAAAAATCACTTGTGAATCTTCAAAATCCCATTTAATCAAAGCTCAGATAAAGTCTGTGGTTCTAAACACACAGGTTCTGAAGGAGGATACACACTTCAGACAGAGACACACAACAATGAAAACATGAGGATTTTAGCCTCAGGAAAAACACAATCAAATTATGTTTTTTTGTGTCACAGAAGCAGTGTCTGTAAAGGGCAAAGTGGAATTGTTGATTTGCCAAAAGTTTATAAGGAAAGGCCAGAGGGGGCGGGTCCTGGCTCCAAAGGTCCAAGAGCACGAGCTGCAATGTCACTCCCCTCGGTGGGGGTGGACCCGGAAGGAGAATTACCCAAAACTTTACAGGACGGACCGAAAGTGGCTCCTGGTCCAAAAGTGGCTCCTGGTCCTCTTGATTCCAGATGCTGTCTGAGGGGAGTATACGTATATATTTTTGGACCAGTCTAGTTTGGCCGCTGTGGACTTTAGAATGCACTCGTTAAATGAATGAGGCTCGTGCAGCTGACACATGCACAAATGTGTTTTTTCACATTTTCCCCGCGACCATTTTGAAAAAGCCACAGAAGGCTAAAGTGATGTCACATTAGTTTCAACAGCAGAGAAAGGCGTCGCTACATCTGTGAGTATTTAAAGTCCATGAGCAAGGTATGTTTATTTGTATAGCACAACCTAACCCTCACACACAAAATTATCATCATAATAATCCTAGTATCCTAACTCCTAGCATACCTAACAAACATACAACGGTCGAAAAGTATAAAACATTCTTTGGTCTGTGAGAACAGTCGTCACGGTAACCACTACAGTCACACAACTCAACACATAATGACCAAAACATAACAAGAGAGTTATGACAGTTATTCTAGATTTAAAACGACACATTACATTTGTAGTTTCTCAGTTTGGACTCAGTGTTTACCCCAGAACCAGGCCCAAAGCGAGGCCGAGCCAGGCCCAGAGCCAGGCCCAGAGCCAGGCCCAGAGCCAGGACCAGAGCCAGGCCCAGAGCCAGGCCCAGAGCCAGGCCCAGAGCCAGGCCCAGAGCCAGGACCAGAGCCAGGCCCAGAGCCAGGCCCAGAGCCAGGCCCAGAGCCAGGCCCAGAACCAGGTCCAGACCACAGACTGTGCTAGCTCAATAAAGCCCAGTAGGGAAGTGCTCATGGTGAAGTTTTGCTCCAACTCGCTCTATGGGTCTGGTGTCGGGACTGAGCCTGGTCTTCAGTCACAAAAAATGACCACATATAATGATAATAATAACTGGGAAAAAATAAAATCCATATTAAAATATAATTCAAATATATTATAATGTATAATGACAACCCATCGGCTTTTTGTGTAAAGTTCTTCCGGTTTAGTCCTGGTTTAGTCCTGGTTTGGTCCTGGTTTAGTCCTGGTTTAGTCCTGTTTTAGTCCTGGTTTAGTCCTGTTTTAGTCCTGGTTTAGTCCTGGTTTAGTCCTGTTCCTCCTGTTTTGCTCTGACCGGCTTGTGTCCCTGTGACCACTTTGCGGCTCTCTGATTGGTCGACGTCTTACTGGTCAAAATAAATATTGAAATGTATTTAAATTCTGATATTAATAAAACAATGAAATTCGAAAATGGTTTTTGAGCTGAAGTCCAAGCCCAAGTCTGGTCTGACCCTCGGACTTGTCTTGGGTCTCGGGTCTGGAATTCGGTTCTGGTCTGGCCTCGGGTCTGGCCTCGGGTCTGGTCTCGGGTCTGGTCTCGGGTCTGGGTCAGGAGGCGATGTGGTTCTTGCGGTGGTAGTCACGGTAACAGTTGCGGGAGCTGTTGAAGCACATGGTCTTGAGGCAGACCGAGCAGTAGACCTGGGTCTTGTTTCCACACATGACACATGTTCTCCGGCCTCGAGTCCCCCGCATCCGAGAGGGGACGCCCCGAAGCTGCTCCGCGAAGGCCGCCGGCAAGTGGCCCAAGTGGACCAGACCCAAGTCCATCTCGGGACCAGAGGAGGGAGGGGAGACCAGGCTGAGGTCTGGGCCAGGACCAGAGGAGAGAATGGGCACGACCGGGTCCGAGGGGGGCCGCTGAAACACACATGAGACTATCTTTGTTCATTCTGTTCTTTAAAGCTGGGGTCTGTGACTTTAAAGCTCAGGTCTGTAACTTTAAAGCTGTAGGGTTAGCAAAACAGTTTGCTTCTATAACTAGATCTGCTCTGGTCCTGTTCTGGATCTTGGCTCCAAGTCTGGTCTGGGTCTAGGGTGTGGATCTGGTCCTGGTCTGTGCTGGTTCGGATCTGGGCCCTTAGTCTGGTCTGGGTCAGGGTCTGAGTCGGGTCTGTGTCCTGATCTGGGTCTGAGTCCTGGTCCTGTTCTGGTCTCATGTGAAAATGAACTTGGAGCTGTAAGTCCCTGAGTCCCTCTGAGTCTAAGTGATCCCTCTGAGTCCCTGTGAGTTCCTCTGAGTCCCTGTGAGTTCCTCTGAGTCCCTGTGAGTTCCTCTGAGTCCCTGTGATCCCTCTGACCTTCACGGCGATGGCGGCCTGGTACGTGGCGATGAGTCGTCTCTTGGGGGCGGAGCCTGCGTCGGCGAGCTCCAGCACCAGCGCCTCTCTGAAGGCTTTCTGCGTGAGGGGGCGGAGCCTGAGCTGGCGGTGGAGGATGAAGGCGTTGACGACCGCGATGTCCACGAAGTGAAAGAACAGCGTCTTGTACCAACGCCGCGTCTTGTGGAGCACGTTGTACGAGTGAATGAGAGCGTCTGATAGGTCCACGCCGCCCATGTGACCGTTGTAGTCCGTCACACAGTCAGGGACACGCACATGCTTCTCTGTCCACCTGCAGAGCACAGGGACCAGAGAGCACAGGGACTGAGAGAGCACAGGGACCAGAGAGCACAGGGACCAGAGAACACAGGGACAGAGAGCACAGGGACCGAGAGAGCACAGGGACTAGAGAGCACAGGGACCAGAGAAAGAAACCAGAGAAACCAGAGGGAGACCAGAGAGACCAGAGAGAGACCAGAGTGAGCCCAGAGAGCCTCACCTCCCGCTGTGGTCCTTGACTCTCCTCCTGACCGTGCCCTCGGCTGTGGCTGAGTGGAGGGTGCTGCAGATCGTGACTTCTCTGGCGTCGATCCACTTCACGAACAGCAGCTCGTTCTGCCGCAGCCATCGGATGGTGCCGCGCGGCGCCCGCAGCGAAGCAGCGCCAAGTCCGGGGCAGTCGCGCAGCGTGGAGCGCATGGTGCCGCAGGCCGACATCCGGTGCCGGCGCAGCAGGTGGCGGAAGAGCGTGGGGCTGCTGTAGTAATTATCTACGTAGAGTCTGTAACCGGAGCCGAGGGCGGTGGAGGACAGCAGCCGCATGACCACGTCGTACGCCTGACCGTGGCCTGACGGCGAGCCCTGACCGTGGCCCGACAGCGAGCTCTGACCGTGTCCCGATGGCAAGCTCACTCTACCATCGTACACAAAGAAGTTCACCGTGTAACCATGAGAGTCGGCCAGGACAAAGAGCTGAGAGAGAGAGAGCACACGTGTGAGAGAGACGAGAGAGAGGGAGAGAAGAGAGAGAGGAGGGAGAGAGAGAGAGGGAGAGAAGAGGAGAGAGAGGAGGGAGAGAGAGAGAGCCTTGAAGCCCTACATCAGGGCTGGCTTAGACTGGGAGCCATGTTTTAATGTGTTACTGCAAAGAGCCACATCACACAAATGTCACACATGAACACTACCGCACACACCAGATTTATGGTACTGGTCACACACCAAAATGATAATGATAATGATATGAACTGACTCCTACAGTACGAAAGGTCTCGTACCTTGAATCCCCACATGGTCTCGTACCTTGAATCCCCACTTGGTCTCGTACCTTGAATCCCCACTTGGTCTCGTACCTTGAATCCCCACTTGGTCTCGTACCTTGAATCCCCACTTGGTCTCGTACCTTGAATCCCCACTTGGTCTCGTACCTTGAATCCCCACTTGGTCTCGTACCTTGAATCCCCTCTTGGTCTCGTACCTTGAATCCCCACATGGTCTCGTACCTTGAATCCCCACTTAGTCTCGTACCTTGAATCCCCACTTGGTCTCGTACCTTGAATCCCCACATGGTCTCGTACCTTGAATCCCCACATGGTCTCGTACCTTGAATCCCCACATGGTCTCGTACCTTGAATCCCCACTTGGTCTCGTACCTTGAATCCCCACTTGGTCTCGTACCTTGAATCCCCACTTGGTCTCGTACCTTGAATCCCCACTTGGTCTCGTACCTTGAATCCCCACATGGTCTCGTACCTTGAATCCCCACTTGGTAGGCTTGTTCTTCACGTACTGCTTGAAGCCGATGCGCGCCTTGCTGCGCACCATGCGCTCGTCGATGCTGATGTGCTGGTGCGGGTGGTAGTGCGCCTGACAGGCCACCAGGAGGCGCTCATACAGCGGCCGCACACGGCATAGACGGTCGTGTTCGGGAGATCCCTTCTTCAGGTCGTTCTCCAGCTCCACTTCCGGGTCGTTCATGTGCAAACACCGGGAAATCTGGTTAAAGCGCACACGGTTCATGGTCCGGGACGGAAATGGCAACGTGAAGAGACGAGAACTCCTCCAGTAGTCCAACAGGGTCTTCAGGGGGACCAGACCTGAGGGAGACAGGGTTAGGACCATGTGGGACCAGACCTGAGGGAGACAGGGTTAGGACCATGTGGGACCAGACCTGAGGGAGACAGTGTTAGGACCATGTGGGACCAGACCTGAGGGAGACAAGGTTAGGACTAGGGGTGGGAACCTAAGGGTACCTCACGATACGATACGATACACAATACAAAGCTCACGATAACGATAATATCACGATATGACGATTATTGATATATTGGTTAGAAATATACAATATGCCAATTTATGGCATAAATAAAGGAAAAATACTCTTTATTTCATGATAAATAGAATGGAGATGCGTAATGTAGCCATATATTAAGTATTGATACCAATTTAAAAAAAAAACAAAGAAATAAAAAAATCAATTTTTTTTAATTTTTTTTCAAAATCGATATCGATACTTGGTAAATGCATATCGATAATCGAATTGCGGGAGAACGTATCGCGATATATCGAAAAATCTATATATCGTCACACCCCTAGTTAGGACTATGTGGGACTAGACCTGAGGGAGACAGGGTCAGGGACCATGTGGACCAGACCTGAGATAGAGAAGGTTAGGAACCATGTGGGACCATGTGGACCAGACCTGAGATAGAGAGAGTTAGGGACCATGTGGGACCAGGGGAACCAGGCCTGTAGCCTGAAGGAGAAGGTTATGGGACCTGAGGGACCATAGGACCATGTCCAGGTCTCCCATGGTGTGGGACAGATCCCTCACCCATGTAGATGACCAGAGCGATGTAGGAGTACATGTCCTTGAGGCAGACGGGGCTGAAGTGTGGCTGCCGTCGGCCGTAGGCGTTGGTGTTCGTCATGAGCGTGGACATGACGTCAGAGTCGAAGTACAGCTGGAAGAGCTGCAGCGGGGAGTAGGAGGAGGTGAGGCTGAGCTGAGGACCCACAAGACGGGAAGGTCTGAACCTCAGCTTTGGCACCGGGACGTCCGGCTCGTCGATGTCCCGCCACCGGAGGCTCTCTGTGACACACCACAACAAAGAAGTCCAGAGACCAGAGAGACAGACCAGAAAGACCAAAGAGACCAGAGAGACAGACCAGAAAGTCCAGAGAGAGACTAGAAAAAGAGAGACCAGAAAGACCAGAGAGAGACCAGAGAAAGACCAGAGAGAAAGACCAGAGAGAGATCTAAAGATGTGACAGAGATGAAAACTGGTGAAAAACAGAATGTTTTAACAGAAAAACCTCTTACCTCCTGGCTGCTCTTCCCCTTCTCTCCTCCCTCCACTTCTGGTCCTACTCTGGGTCTGGCCTCCTCTGGTCCTGGTCTGGGTCTGGCTCTGGGTCTGGCCTCCTCTGGTGCTGGTTCTGGTCTGGATCTGGCCTCCTCTGGTCCTGGTCCTGGTCTGGCCTGGTCCGGTCCCCTCGTCCCCAGCAGAGGAGCTCTCCTTTGGGCCTCTCTTACTCGGAGGCAGCTCCCACAGCTCGTCTGACCCGCTGTCTTCCTCTGAGGAGACGTCACTGCACAAAGGGACATTAATGACAGCGTAACGAGCCGCTGAGCTGGGTTTGGGTGAATGAAGCTCTCATGGTCAGAGTTCGGGCTGTTGCACGCTCAGCTCCTTCCTTTATGAAAATGTTTTTGTGAAAAATACCGTATTGCTAAAAATAAGTACTATATTGTGACCTACGTGATTCACTATAATGTGATTAATTTCTCTGCCTGATCTCTCTCTGGTCTCTCTCAGGGCCCTCTCTGGTCTCATTCTCTGGTCTCTCTCTGGTCTCTGTCTGCGCTCTGTCTGGTCTCTCTATGTTTGGTCTCTCTCTCTGCACTGTAAAAAAAAAAATGTTATTTTTACGGAAAAATACCGGCAGCTGTGGTTGCCAAAACACTACCGTTAAATTACGGTACAACATTACCTTCATTTAACAGTGATACAGTTGATTTCACAGTTAAATTATGTGTTTGATACAGCATTTAACCGCTAAAAAAAGAGTCGCGGAATTTAAAAAAAAACAATGTTTAACCTGAAAATATACATGGAAATTTGTATTTTCTTCTGGTTTAACACCATCATTTTTAAATGTAACCACTTTGTTTCCTACGGTAAATTACTGAATTAGTTGAGGTACTACCGTTAAAAAAAAAGTTGTTAATTGCTACCATGAAAAGTATTAACATCCCAAAAAACGTTATTTTACATGAAAAAATATCAAATTTGATGGGTCAACTCTTTATTGACAATTTGCAGTGTTGTAAATATCAACTCGAAATAAACAACATATCAAAGAATGAGAAGTACATTGGGTAAATGCTCATATGTTTACTTTCAGTGTCCAAACTTCAAAACCAAATGTTTTTGGCCAGGAAACCTTTTGTGGAACATTGCTAATCACAAGGTGGCATCAGTGAACATAGTGTATTATTAGAGCATCAAAATAAAAATCATCCCTAAAAAAGGAACTGAAGTGCAAAAGTTGCAAAATAACACATTTTCTGTATGACTGAATCAAATCCTAAAAAGGGGAGCAAAAGTGCCAAATCTAGCTGAACTAAAGTTTACTTACAATGTCCAGCATACACATTTTTTATCATCCCTCATCACTAGAAGGTCCACTCAGGGTCAGCAAGGTCAGTGATCAAAGTGAAGACTCTGGGATTGACTGCATACACCTTTTTCTTCCACTCGACTTTGGTGCCTCTCTCAGGATTAATAGGAAACAAACACCTTTATGAGAGAGAGAGAATTTACCTCAGGTAGGATAACAAATACCTTGCATTTTGTGATATTTTAAAGAGTAAGACATTTTACCTTTGGAGGAACTCCAGTGTAGATCATAGTTCCACTGTGTAGTGTATGTTGAAGCAGTAGTAACTGGCAAACATCAAAATAGCAAATAGCAGAGGTAAAGGAAATGATGTGGTCATTGACAATCTCTTGGTCAATGCTCAACATAAACGTCTCAGCAGCGAAGCAGGATGGTCCTAACAATGAATCCAAAATAGACAAAAGAAATTCGATGAGTCATACGACTGACAGAACTTATCAGGTACATTATTAGTCAGTGTCTCAAATTGAGCTGTGAGCTACAAATGAATGTTAGTATAGCAATGAAAGCTTGCAGGTTTGCTTTAGTGAACTTACCACACACAATGAGGCAGGGTGTTGGTGGCACATTCTCCATCTGAACATCCTCAGCAAGGCTGGTCTTATCCATGAACTGTAGGAGATGCTCTTCCTTCTCAGCAAAATGAGCCAGCAAGAGCACCACCATCTCGATGACCTCGTCAATGACATGCTGAGGACGGAGTTGGAGTGAATGAGTCTGCGAAAGCACAACAAAAAGATATTTTTTGAAATTATTACAACATATTCATTAACTTTATAACAGAATTGCATGTTGATACATGTACAAGTCAAAAGTAAAGGAGAATTCCAGTGTAAAATCTTTTTTTTTTTTTACATGTTTTGTATTACCATGCGCACACGTCAGGGTCATGGATCTTCCCTGTCAATAACAGAGGCATTAGATGATGTGCTATTTTTAATATTATGCCTGAAAATGCTTTGAACGCATTGCTGTAAGGCATGTTTGAACGTTGGAGAAAAAATGCATATTCACTGTTTGCAAAACCCTTTTGCTTGCAGAACGTGAATTCAGAAGTTTGAAACTTACTCTCCCTTACCGGCCATCTTTGACGTTACCCAGAACCATAAATGTAAACCAACTGACCTACTGTTTTTGACGGAAGGCGGTGTGTAGTCTACACATTTCAACAATACCACAACTTTCTGAACAGAAAAAGATGTATTTCAACGTCACAACGATTTTACACTGAATTCTCCTTTAAAGTACTTAACAGAAAAGTGTGCAGTGTTGTAGTGTCAATGCTTTACACTCACGGTTTGGGGCCCAGGCAGACACCAATCTTCTGGCTTGTATGGGTTTTAATACTGGCAGAAAGTCTCCTTCTGTAATGTACTGTAAATCTTCTGTCTTTGCTGCACCAAGTGCGTTCAAAAATATCTTCATCTGACTTGACCACTTGATCAGGCAAATCAGGAAACACAGCTAGAACAGCATAGGTCATCCTCTGTGATTCAGCCATATCTGAAAGACACATAAGAGAGAAAGTGTTCAATAATGGTTTTTTGATTTAGTGTGACAAGAGACAACTTGGGATCCAATGTTTAAGTAATGGTGTAAAGGCCACATGTCAATCAGTTCACCAACATGTTTGTGGTGGCGAAAAAAGTGCGACGTTAAAGCTGTGTAGCCTGAAAACCCCTGCTTATCAACACAATGAACACATTTAAATATAATTCGGGGTTCATTGCGGTGCAATCTGCAATGCAAGACATATGCTTTAACAGAGTTAACATTTGCTCCACATATGGTACAAGAATACATCTTCCGTAAAATATTCTCCACTAGTGATGGGATAGCCTGGCCATATCCATCCGTACACGCCGCTCAATCATCATTTCACTGCATGTAGCGTCTGGGTCTGGTCCCTGTGTTATTACAATCGGTCGTATTTCGACCGGCTACTCAGAGAGCGCGTTGTAGGTCGGTGCCGGTGACGTAGCAAATGTCATCGCTGGTCAAGACTTCCCACGGGCTCCGTTAGCAGCAAAGGAGTTGGCTAAAGCTAGGCTAAAAGCTAAATGCTAACAACACACTCGGGCGCATTACATACGTCACAGTAAACTTAGATCCAATTGTTTCAATCTGCAAAAGGAGTTAACCCCTCCCACCTGTTAACGGAGTCAATGGAGCAAATCCAGACTTTAGTATGAAATGAAATTTGTACTATGAGGTGGTACAACCAGGCTAGTGATGGGACATAAGGCCGCTCACTTTTTATGCTCCTGTAGCCGCCTCTTCCCTCAAAGACGCCGCGCCCCTTTTCTCTTCTATGACCCGAGAGTGTGCTGGCGCTGGGAGCGATCGGGCACTCTCTCGCCTTTTCCTCTGCTTCCCCGCAGGCAGTGCTAACTCCCACGGTCGTGCGTTCACAAACTGTCCCTCTACCACTCCTCTCTCCGCCCCACACCAACAGTGACTTTGTTTTTGCTAAATAAGCATGCACAACTAAAGTGATTTCCCTTCCCCAGAGATGAATCAAATATATATCGTTTACTGTAAAGACAAAAGAGCCGGATCTTTCACGACCGAACCATATGCTCTTAACCCACACGAACTGCGTGATTAGCTAACCAGGGACTTGGCTTAGCTATATCCAAAAACAGTCAGACAAGTTTAAAGGTTGCACATAATACACGCTTCACGTAACCACATAAGCATGTATTACACTGTCCAGATTTGTACCAGCAGTAAAACTCTAATGAAGTTAGCCGTAAAGCTACAACAGTATTAGCTAGCGTGCTAGTGGTTTACACTGCAACCCTCTTGACAGACCTAGAATTTCCATTTACTTACCAATCACTTAGAATATTCCGCTTCTGGATGAGGTGGTCAATCCATGAAATCCAGCTCGACGATAAAGCACCTCGGTGAACAATGACGACGAGTAAAACAAGCAAGTGCCGGTCTGAAGAAGTTTGGTTTTACGCGGTGACGAGAGCAGACGTTAGTCATTTGGTGAAAGTAGCACGGGTCTCATACAGCACACTGATTGGCCGGTTTGAAATTCAAAGCATTGAAAAACAGTAACTTCTATGTCAAGGCAGTACGGGGTGCGCGCGCTTACTGAATGGAGACAAATTAAAGTTGGATGTAGGCAAAGAATATATATATATTTTTATATAAACTAAACAGGATTTAGACATGTTTAGTTTTTTTACAGGTTGTACAAGCAGAGCACACAGTCAGTCGTGTTTCTATAAAATAATGTCAAGCAATGTACAATTTTTAAACAGGAATCATACATTTCATGATGCTTTGAAAATCTTGAGTTTGGATGCTATTGGATGGTGTTTTTCTTTCTTTCTTATGAATAGACCATACTGTAAGCTTTGCTAGACCACATGTTCATTTTATAATTTAGCTTGTTAATAAACAAATAATGCATTATTTGTTTAAAAATGAAAGGAATCCTTCTTTATCTTCACAAAGAAGAGCTTAGCCTACATAATATATATGATAATAATACATCATAATAACATTCTGTTTCATATTTTCACTGTAAATTTTAAAGTACACATCTGTATATCTTTTAATTTAAAGGTAATTACCATTTATTGATTTAACGGTATTTACCAATTAATTCAGCTGGTTTTATTTTTTTTCACAGAAAAAAACTGTGTTTTCTACAAAGTAGCACTGTAAAAAATCAAAGTTATACAATTTTTCTAAATTTACAGTTATTTACTGTATTTTCCATGGCAATATACTATTTTCCATTTTACAGCCTTCGACTGTTGCAATTTGACAGTGTTTTACCGTAAATTCTACAGATTTTTTTTACAGTGTGGTCTCTCTCAGGGCCCTCTCTGGTCTCATTCTCTGGTCTCTCTCTGGTCTCTGTCTGCGCTCTGTCTGGTCTCTCTATGTTTGGTCTCTCTCTCTGGTCTCTCTCAGGGCCCCCTCTGGTCTCTCTCTCTAGTCTCTCTCTGGACCGGAGAGAGACCAGAGTCTGGTCTCTCTCTGGACACTCTCTGGTCTCTCTCTGGTCTCTCTCGGGTCTCTCTCTGGTCTCTCTCTGGACACTCTCTGGTCTCTCTCTGGTCTCTCTCTGGTCACTCTCTGGACTCTCTCTGGTCTCTCTCTGGTCTCTCTCTGGTCTCTCTCTGGACTCTCTCTGGAGTCTCTCTGGTCTCTCTCTGGACACTCTCTGGACTCTCTCTGGTCTCTCTCTGGTCTCTCCTGGTTCGCGTCTGTTTCACTCTGACCTCTTTGTTCCGCGCTGACCCTTCGTAATGACACCGCACGCGTCACTCACCGCTCCTCTGCCGCTTCTGCCGCCTTCCGCCGCTTACAGGCCGCTCCCGTGCCGCTCCTGCTCCACGCACGCGTCATGTCCCGTAGCGCGTGTCCGTGTCGGTCCAGACCTGAGCACCGGACTCCCGTGGGTTTGACACCACTTTGAATTTTCTTTTCTGCGCCGTGACACTGGCCCCGCCCCCTCCCCACAGGCTGCACGCTGATTGGTAGAGCGAGCGCAGGTTACAGTATTGCGCAACGAACACTGGTTTGAATGAAAGAAAACAAGGAAGTTTTGACACGAAACCGTTGTATGTGTGTGTGTCTGTGTGTGTGTCTGCGTCTGTATCTGTGTGTGTGTCTGTCTGAGTCTGTATCTGTGTGTGTGTCTGCGTCTGTGTGTGTGTGTGTCTGTGTGTGTGTCTGCGTCTGTGTCCGTGTGTGTGTGTCTTTGTGTTTGTATCTGTGTGTGTGTGTCCATCTGAGCGTGGGTGTGTGTGTTTGTATCTGTGTGTTTGTGTGTCTGTGTGTTTGTATCTGTGTGTCTGTGTGTGTGTGTGTGTGTGTGTGTGTTGATTTTGAAGAAGCAAAGTGACGTGATTCCATTAGTGAGTATTGATGTGAGCAGATGTCGCCTATAAAATGGAACCCCCAGGGACCAGGGTTAGACCAGGTCTAGACCAGGATTGGACAAGGACAAAACCAGGTCTGGACCAGGACTAAACCAGGTCTGAACTAAACCGAGGGTGAGGGGGGTGTAAAAAAAAAACTCACAATTACCTGCCTCTAAAACAGACCTGGTCTTGCTGTTGTTATTTACCCTGGTCCTGGTCCTGGTCCTGGTCTTGGTTTTGGTCACATCTTCAGGTCATATTTTTCTGACAGAAAATTTAAACAGAGATAACCCAATCTCAGCCAATCAGCTCTCTCTCCCAAAGAGTCAGATAGTGACTCATGGGGCTCTTTCTTATACAAAAGAAAACATGTTTTCTAAAAACAAATTAGGCTGCGGTCCCATGCACAGCCTAAAGCCCGGTTTAAGTGTGCCAGGGCCCACTTCGCGATTAGATCCGGGCTTTAGGTGATTTGTGACCGCAGCAAGTGGGCTTGGGCACGATAGCCTCAACCACGCCCAGGCCCACTTAAGGACTTGGGCCAGGGCCCGCTTGTAAAGCGCAGATGAGGGGGGTCAGTGTGGGGGTGGTGGGGAGTGGGGGATGAGGTGTGGACGTGATATTGTGCGTCACATTCATAGACTGTATATATTAACGGACAGAGTCACACCTATCTCCGCCGTTCTAACTAATGGGCCAAAAAATGCTCTACTGGAGCTATCCAAAATGGCCGCGAGTGGTCCCGCCCACAAGAAAATTGTGAAAAAACGCATCTGCGCATGTGTCAGCCGGAGCAGCTCCATTCATTTAAACGAGTGACTTAAAAAATTCACAGCGAGTAAACTAGAGTGGACCACAACACTCCCCTCAGCATTGACACACATGTGGAACGGAGCTTTGGGCCAAGAGCCAACTTTTGGTCCATCCTGTAAAGACGTTTTCCAGAGGTCTGCCAATGCTATATGTTAGCATTGGCTAATTCTTCTTCTGGGTCCACCCCCATCGGCCCGGGGTGGTATTGCAGCATGTCAGCGCACGTCATTTTGGCCACTTCTGAGCCGGGACCCGCCCCCAATGTTCACATTACATCAGTAGTGAAGGTTTCACTATAATTAGCTGGTTACTAATAAGGCAGGGAGGGCCCCTCCCTGCCTTATTGTTGTCGCGGAGTGGACATTGGTCAGGATGCAAATGATAAATCTTGTTGATGGTTACTCCCTTTATTCTGGGTTGTACAGGGGTGTGTGTGTGTGGTTCTGTAACACAAACAGATAAAACAATATGTTAAAATAATATGACAGTTATTACACATATCACTACTAAGTGTACATCAATAATAAAGTAGTAGGTAAACATACACTCAGAGGACTAGCCCAGGAGCTAAACTAGCCTCAATCCTCATGAACTTGCACTAAACTCTTAAACTACAATTCTAACCCATTCCCAAACCCATTACACACATTAAACACTATTGCCAATCACCCACCTCTCTAATGGACGCACACAAGCTTTTTGCACACAGCACTGTAATCTGCCATCACCTCTCGCGCACACAGAACACCGCTAAAACAGCCCAAACTCTTCACTGCTCACTTGTGGGCGCACCTGGTGGCCAGGTTGGGTACTGCAACTATCTACAAACGCTCTATTCAGCCCTGGCTGCCTTCATAACAACATCTTCCTGTGACGCGCATTTTCACACACGTCTCTGCACCTTTGTATACTCCTCTCGTGTTAAACTTTTCCTATAAGCCCCGGACCATGGTCGAGGGGCGCAGGGGTCTCTCTCTGGTCTCTCTCTGGTGTCTCTCTGGTGTTTCTCTGGTGTCTCTCTGGTGTCTCTCTGATCTCTCTCTGGTCTCTCTCTCTGGTCTCTCTCTCTGGTCTCTCTCTGGTCTCTCTCTGGTCTCTCTCTGGTGTCTCTCTGGTGTTTCTCTGGTGTCTCTCTGGTCTCTCTCTGGTGTTTCTCTGGTGTCTCTCTGGTGTCTCTCTGGTCTCTCTCTGGTGTCTCTCTGGTGTTTCTCTGGTCTCTCTCTGGTCTCTCTCTGGTCTCTCTCTGGTGTTTCTCTGGTGTCTCTCTGGTCTCTCTCTGGTCTCTCTCTGGTGTTTCTCTGGTGTCTCTCTGGTGTCTCTCTGGTCTCTCTCTGGTCTCTCTCTGGTGTTTCTCTGGTGTCTCTCTGGTGTCTCTCTGGTGTCTCTCTGGTCTCTCTCTGGTCTCTCTCTGGTGTCTCTCTGGTCTCTCTCTGGTGTCTCTCTGGTGTTTCTCTGGTGTCTCTCTGGTCTCTCTCTGGTCTCTCTCTGGTGTTTCTCTGGTGTCTCTCTGGTGTCTCTCTGGTGTTTCTCTGGTGTTTCTCTGGGGTCTCTCTGGTGTCTCTCTGGTCTCTCTCTGGTCTCTCTCTGGTCTCTCTCTGGTGTTTCTCTGGTGTCTCTCTGGTGTCTCTCTGGTGTCTCTCTGGTGTCTCTCTGGGGTCTCTCTGGTGTCTCTCTGGTGTCTCTCTGGGGTCTCTCTGGGGTCTCTCTGGGGTCTCTCTGGGGTCTCTCTGGTGTCTCTCTGGGGTCTCTCTGGTCTCTCTCTGGTCTCTCTCTGGTGTTTCTCTGGTGTCTCTCTGGTGTCTCTCTGGTGTCTCTCTGGTGTCTCTCTGGGGTCTCTCTGGTGTCTCTCTGGGGTCTCTCTGGGGTCTCTCTGGGGTCTCTCTGGGGTCTCTCTGGGGTCTCTCTGGTGTCTCTCTGGTGTCTCTCTGGTGTCTCTCTGGTGTCTCTCTGGTGTCTCTCTGGTGTCTCTCTGGTCTCTCTCTGGTGTCTCTCTGGGGTCTCTCTGGTGTCTCTCTGGTGTCTCTCTGGGGTCTCTCTGGGGTCTCTCTGGGGTCTCTCTGGGGTCTCTCTGGTGTCTCTCTGGGGTCTCTCTGGTGTCTCTCTGGTCTCTCTCTGGTGTCTCTCTGGGGTCTCTCTGGTGTCTCTCTGGTGTCTCTCTGGGGTCTCTCTGGGGTCTCTCTGGGGTCTCTCTGGGGTCTCTCTGGGGTCTCTCTGGTGTCTCTCTGGGGTCTCTCTGGTGTCTCTCTGGTGTCTCTCTGGTGTCTCTCTGGTGTCTCTCTGGTTGATGATGTGTGAAATTAGAGCCGATAATGAGTAGTTAAAACAAACGTTTTCCTCCTGTTACGCGGTGATGAGGACCTTGTTAGCACCAGAGGAATGACCACATAACCAGGCAAGACACGCACACACAGATACACACACACACACACACACACACAGATACACACAGATACACACACACACACACAGTCCATAGAGAAGGACCAACCTGAGGATTACAGGCCTCTCTGGTCTCTCTCTGGGTTCTCACACACACAGTCGCACGCACACACAGACACACACGCAGACACAGATACACACACAG